TATTTTATTTTATTTTATTTTATTTTATTTTATTTTATTTTATTTTATTTTATTTTATTTTATTTTATTTTACTAGAGGAACAAGAAGAATGCTTTCTGCAACCCTTTGGTGCCGCATTTGCTATTCTGGGCTTTAAAATACTAAAATAGAAAAGGAGCTTGCTTGTTCATTAAAAATAGACAATATAATCCTTGTCCAGTCCAATAATGGTTTTTAACTTAAAAGAGCAAAAATGTTGGACCTGAAAACTGTCCAAGCAAGGTGGACAGTGGAACACCCTCAATGTTTTAGGAACCATATATCTCTAGAGAACAATAACTCTCATGGTGTTTTATTTATCTCATGGAATCTGCATTTTAATTTATTGCTTTCATTGTTGTACCCCATCCCTAATTTTGTTGCGTTGTTTGTTTATTATTTATACATATCAATTTATATGGCCAGCTATCTTGCAACAGTGACTCCAGGCAGCTAAAATAAGGTTAAAAACTCAAATATAACTAAACAATGATATATACAAATAATGGCAATTGAGAACCACATAAATCATCAGCAGATGACACGTCCATTTCCCAGAACCAATTAATTTCCTGAATCCCATGATGTGAAAACAGACACCTTTTAAAAGCTTCACAATATGCCAACAGGTTGGGGCCAGCCAGATCTTGGGAGTATGGTGCTGTGATAAAAAAGACCTACTTCCTAGGTCCAATCAGATGACATTCCTTGATAGACGGGACTCACCTATCAAGGAATTCATGGAATGTGAATACTACATAGAATGTATGGACCAGATGAAAGAGACTTGAAGGAGAATGTCCCTGTCACATGCACATTACCTTAGCCCGCAAATTGTTGTCAAAGTAGGAGGCCACTGGATACTTCTTACTGGTCATCATGGACACCTTGACGGGAGGGAGGCCAGGACGGTAGAAAACTTCAAGCCTTGTATTTGTTTGTTTAAATGTAGTTTTCCATTTGGCTGGAAAGTTAAAGAACTTGGATAAGACGGAACCTCTTTATGTATATATATTAACATATATTGACTTGTTGGACACAGCCATGTTTTTGTTTGTGTTTTAATGAAAATACAGAAGCAGTTTGCTATTGCCGTCTTCCAGTTTGTTTTTGTTTTCAAACATTTAAATAGGGGTGCATCCATAAATATACATGCAAATATTTAAATAGAATTGTTTGTTGATGCTGTCCTTCACATGTTGGGGAAAGTAGGCATCCCTTGGTGTTTCACAGTTGGAGGGATGAAGCTTAATAATTTCTTTCCATTTCTGTATCTACAGAATAGTCAACAGTCGCTACTCTCATAATTCTGAAGAGGTGCAGCATGAATCAACTTTAAGAATGATCTCAAAATGATAAACATAGGATGCTGATGACTGTCTTGGGAAAGAGCTTGGGAACAATATTGGGGACCCAAATGATTGTGAGATAATCTAATTTGAAGGGTATTTTCTTGGTTTGTCTTTGGGATAGTTGTGGATTATTACTGGAAAGCAGTCGGGATGGTAGGCATTTGCCCATACTTGATGGCATCTAACTGTCTAGGTTCCCTGCTTCAAAACAGGTTGCATGATTTGTAGAGGTCTTTTGAAAAAAATAATGCAAGTCAGTGGACTGTATCCAAAGGGCCTCCATAATGTAACTTAGAAATTCAATGTGCATAGGAAACTCTCAATGACACCTCAGCTATACATTGGCTGCTGGGACTAGTTATCCAAGGAATGCTGAATGAAAGGTAGTAATAGTCAAAGATATGGCAGCAAAATAGGGATAATTATCAGAAAGGCTTGGAAGAAAGAAAAAGCCATAAGACAGAAAGAATATCCTGAGGGACAAAGGACTAAAGCTACTCCCTGTACCAGAAAACCAGTGGGAAACAGTATGGTTTGGGGACGAATGACATTCTATCACATGCGACCGAGTCAGAGTCCTGAGGAAGGGGAATCTGACGTGGCATCTGTGAGGCAGAGAGGAAATTTCTAGTGTTCCTGTGAGGAAGGAATCTGAACTGCCAAGAAGCCTGTGTGAAACGTCATGTTTTATGCAATTATAAGCTAGGTAGCAATTAGGTTACAAGGATACAACTTGGCTTGGTGGTGGAATTTAGTACGAAATTCCTTAAAGAGTTAAGGAAGGTAATTAAATCTGTGAAAAGTAGGATTGTCACAATTCCTCCTCCACCCATGTCTCTCTCCCCTTGTAACTAAACAATGGATTATACCAAGCTTCAAAAGTTTTCTTGGCTTTGAGAAATCTTCAGGCAAACCATACTTTGCCAAAGCTGCTCTGCAAAGCAATATTCATTCTCCACTTCTAAACAGGAAGCAAAGCTGACATTTGCTTCACTTCACATTGCTCTGAGATCTCATTCAGCAGTTCAGCTACTGGAAGCACCAGATGAATCTTATGCCATACTGGTGAAGAAACCTCTTCAGATACTGGAATTGGCAGATGAGGCCTTTGGTATCATGAAGTTGATTCAATCATATTGCCTCTGTGACATGAAGCAGCATAGTGAGGCTAACCACAACTGCCTTGCACAAGCTGACCAATGCACACCAATATTTGAACTTTTAATTTCTCTCTGTGATTTAATAGCAATCAAGGGTTATTTTAAAAATCCTTTAACATCTTTCTCTGGTTGCCATCCTTACTCTCAGATCCAGCAACACATTATGCAGAGAACAAAGAACACATTTTTTTCTTTCTCTTCTTCAGAGAAAATGATGGTGGCAATGAGTCCTGGGTTTAAAAGGGAAATTTGATTGGAGCCCTTTCTGTAGCACTTTCCCTCTACAGGAAATCTCTCTGAGTCAGATGTCAAGTGCAGAAACCCCCAGAAATATCTTACTTACAATGGAAGTAGACAGCGTTGAGGAGCACCATTTGGGCATCAGGATCTAGGTCATCCAAGAGTTTCTTGATCTTGTTACCAGTACGTTTACTCACCCATGAGTTGATATCAGTTACTGCCTGCTGGGTGTTGTTAGTAAGGACCTTCAGCTTGGTTTGATAGAATGTACTTGTTAGATTTTGAAATTCACTGCTCATCTTAAGTGCTGTGTGTCAAAAATTCAAACATTAAAAAAAATGAGAATAGCAGGCCATCGTAAGGCATGTGCCACTTATGGTACAGATCATTCTTTTTCCCCTAAGATTTTATAATTTAGCTATTCATTTAAAAGATAAAGATTGGTGGTTGCCAACTGTAGCTCACTTAAAGAGGATATTTTGTGCTGTCATTAGTTGATTTTCTTAAGAGATCAGAAGAGCACTTTTTAAGGAAATTCTTATATGAGAATTATAATCAGTTCCCTTGTAATTATAAGGGAAAATTGTAAATTGTAGAATTTCCTTTGGAAGTACTCATCTGGTCTTTAAAAAATGAATTAATATGCTATTTATAGATTTAGGCTATGGGAAGTTATATGCATAATCAGCTTCCCATAGTCCAAATTTATAAACGGCAACTAAACAGAATCCTGCTTATGCATCCATGTACAAAGTACCACTAATCTCATATTTATGGGTGTTCATAAAGGGAAAAACAGCAACAAAAATGCTCAATCATAGTCCAAAAATATCACTAGAAGAAGAAATGAGAAGCATAATGGTTTAAATTACTTTGTTTTCACTTTTGTTCTGCTGCTGTATTTTACATTGGTATGTTTTTTTAAATATGCTAAAATGCCTTTTTGGATTGAGTCTACCAAAGTGGCAAAAAATATAGTTACAGTCATATCATTAAAAAGTTCAACATTCCAAAATGCATATAACTCACATACACACACAAACCTTTTTGCAGAATCATAGGAATAAATGATCAATTAAAAGAAACAATGACCACTAAAATCCATTAGCTAAGAAACCAATTATAACTAGTTAGTTTTTTCAAACCTTAAAAGAAAAAAAAAACTCTGGGAACTGTGGTCCCAAAGGATGCCAGGTTAGGGAAGGCTGCTGTAGCATTTGCTCATCAGACAGAAAGTAGGCTACAAAAGGCCTTTTGCAATTTTATCCTGGAATCTCCTTTAGGGTAGATTGGATGAGATTTTAACCTAGTGGTAACTATATGAGACCAAACATCTGCCTGAACATATCTTACTTCTACAAAATTTAATTATACAATCTGAAGCAAATAATTTTGGAATTTCAGCCTTAATCCATTGATGGAGTACATGGAGAATGTCTCAACTATAATTTCCAGTACAAGCCAAACTTCAGCTGTATTCCAATGAGATTTTTCCTTTCCATTTTGAAACACGCTGACCTCTAAGAATCAGACCTTAGCTGAAAGAAGGCCATCTGTGGGAGTTTACTCACCTGGTTGATAAAAAATCGCATTGGCTGAAGTCAGGGCTTCAGATTTGCCAAAGGCTTTCAGGGCTCTATGTACACATGCAAATTCTTTAGGATAGAACAGCAACTTCTCAAGACGATCTTTGGTTTCATCGCAGGCTCCTGAATGGCAGATACATGGGTATGGAGGGGTTATATGTCATTGTGCAAGTTCAGATTTTTTTCTGCAACTCTGTTTATTTATTCTTTCAACCCCAAAGTTCTTGGATTTTATAACAGTGGCCTTTGCTACAACGATTATTTTTCAAGCCTGCCAACTGTAACTCATGGGCTTGATTCTGAGACCTAGATAAGTGCTACAAGTGCTGTTGACCTTACCCTTCACTTTAACTGACCTTCATGTTGCAAAGGTCACATCTGAATGTTCACATTGTATGGATACCACCAGTACCAGTGTTTCCTTTTGCTAATGAGGTAGCTGATACAGCTGCCTGTCGTATTAACACATAATCCCAGCAACAGAGAATATTAAACTCGTGACATTATGGCTAACCATGGGATGATTTAGTATGACAGTGTGACCTGTCTCCCCTTGACAGCTTGTTGTTGCCAGATTTGGGATGTGGTTTATTGAAATCACAGCAATTGTTTCTTCGAAGATACCGTAGGACATTCTAGTGCCTTCAGATATTTTGGACCTTAACCTTATCAGCTCCAGCTGGTATGGCCAATGGCAAAAAATTGTGGGAGCTGTAGCCCAAGATATCTGGAAGATACTGGATTATTTTTTTGTTTTCTGAGGAGTAGAAAACTCCTTAGACCATAGAACAAGAGGTTCAGTTTGCAGTGTTGACTCATGTTTTGATGGCAAGATCTCATAGAGGAAAAGAAGCTAAGCAAAAATGGTGAAACAGACTGGATCAAAGGAAGTTGGAATTTGATTGTTGGAGCAAAACCTTTTGGTGAAAAATGAATTGTGCTCTCGGGGATTTTCAGCAATAATAATCAGAATAATGGATTGTGCTTAGCAGCCTGACACAATACAGAGACAAATATATCCTGAACAAAGGCTGGACAAACCTGTCCAAGACTGTTTAGGCTGCCAATGCTTCCCAGATGAAATGTGATTTGTTTCTAGAAAGATAGGGACTTTACTCCTAATTTAAATGAATGAAGATGCCCACAGTTTAGTATTACAGCCTTCCTATAACAAAACATGACTTTAGGAGGTAGAAATGTGTGTACTGTATCAGCAATCCTATTTGAAACAGGGATGCCTATAAGAGATATGAGGGATGTTTTATAACTTAGGTTTTTTTAGAGAAACATAATCTCTAAGAAATTATGAAAAGATATGAATATAAGCAATACTATACTGCTGAAATATAATATAAAAGGAAACCTTTCATGCCAACATAAATCAAGCAGCTCACACATTTGTTGACTTCCCACAGCAGGAGACCCACTCACACTACACCCCAGATACCTCTAGGTAAGAAAAAAAAAATGACACAGAAGCCTCAAGTTTGTAACATTTCTGTAGATACCCAACGGCGTATTCTTACCTAATAGGAGATTGGATAGGGTTGTTGTGATGCTGAGGGGTGAGAAAACCAAGTTACCATCCTTTTTCTGAATTGCTATTTTATAGAACTCAAGTGCAAATTTGGATAGAGCCTCAGCCAGCTTCTGTTCATCTTCTGGAGTGGACTCAGCACATGCAGGCCATGGTTCCCAGCGTTGTGAGCATGATTCAGGTGGGCAACTAGTATCGGACACTGTGGGAATGGGGGCAGTACTTGCTGTGGTTGATCCTTCTGTTGGGACTTCAGCAGATTGTTCTTTGACATTTAAAAGTTCCGGAAACTGATGATCAAAGACTGTCTGCTTGGTTGCCATAGTAATAGTACTATCTTCTCCATTTTCCACTGGTACATTTGTAGATGTAACTATCTGGTTAGAAGTTTTCTCTTCATTGTAATGTCCTTGCATATCCTTATCTGAAGTCTCCTGTAAAATATTGATATTAGGTAATAGTGGATTACATTTATACCACTATGAATCTGTGCTTTTATATATCAATAAAAGCAAGAATGTTTGGCACTTTTTTTTGACTCCAAATATCTAGGTTTTGACTTAAAAAATAAGCATCTTAGGTACTATACTGAATATTAATCACAATTAAATGTTTTGACATTCTGCAGTTTAGGGTTTGACAAATAATCACTTTTGGAAAACATTTCATATAAAAAGTACTCTAGAAGATTAAACTTCATTATCTTGTTCCTTAAAACAAAACAAAATAAATTAGAAGTATGGGTTCAGCACAAGTAATGTTTTTCAACAAGGCTGATCACAAACAGCCTGCTACATTATTTTCATTTGATCTATACTACTGAGCTTCTTCTGGGTACAATCACTAGAGAATGGAGTTTCAGAATTAGAATAATATTTATATTTATATTAGAATAATCATTATTCCAATTCAGAATTAGATAATTCTGGACACTGATTACTGCTATGAGTAGATTAGACGCTATAACCTAAATGACTCTAAGTTTTTGATTCTGACACATGGAAAATACATCTCTTCTCCTGCATGCTGACCAGAGCGTATAAATAAATGCTTTCTGTTATTTCTTCATGACCATATGGTTAATATTTTCTTCTCTGAAATGCACTAATGAAGTCTCTAAAACAGAATGAAAATGCTGTTAGCCAGTAATGCCTTAATAAATTTAAGATAGTAAAATAACTAAAATATATTAATAAATGAAATATTACTTTCAAAGCAAGGGAAAGCTGAACTAAGAATTACTGTTCTAATCTGCATTATCTAGCACACCTGAGAATGAAACTTCAAGTTGGTCCTGAAAAGCCTCCATGATTGACTGTCATCCTTGTTGTTGGTATCTGGATCCAGGGATTGCTCAGTTTCTTCAGTCCTCCCAGCTTCTTGAAAGGGAGGTGGTGTTATATCATTTCTATTACCTGTCACTTCCTTGATGCAGGATGTCATAGAAAAATAAATCCTCATTAGATAAATCAGTGTTGTCTGCTTTCATCATAAACAATTCATTTTCTTTCTTATTTAAGAGAGAAGCTACTTGGATTAGGTTGAATTTTAGCTCAAAGTCTGGAGGAAAAATTATAGGATATGCTTTTGGATAATTAACAAAATGACAGAGTTAACCCAATTGTGATCTGAATTATAAGTCACACCTTATGCTTTGGCCAGAACCATGACAAGATAATCTGCAAAACGGTCTTCTCCTCCTTGCTGCTGGTGCTTTGGACTAGTTCAGGTTCTTCAGTCCACTCAGCAACTGTTTCTGTACTGGATGCAGCCTTGATGCAAGGTGTGATTGCAAAATAAATCACTGTTAGTTAAATGCATACTCTTCTTTTTAAAATCCTAAATAGTAACATACATTTCTTATATCAACACAAACTGCTGTCTGATTTGCTTAACGAATAGATAATTCAATAAATGTTAGCAGTGAACCCTCAAATCTTCAATATTTGAAGGAAGAATAGTCCTCCACCCCAGTAATTTACCCTTAAAAGGAGAGGCTTAGATTTGCTGACATGGGCTGAGGGAGGCAGCCGGTTTTCCTGTTCATTCTTCCTTTGAGGAGAGGATTATCTTAAATTCAGACGCCTTCCTTTGGGGCAAAGACATTGTGTGCGTGCAACTTGTACTGTCCTAGGAAACATTCAAAACCTGATTTGAACCAGGAGGTGGCAGTGTTAGGTCACAAAGCACCTGAACTAGGAACCTTGTCTGCTTCTTGGCTTCTCTCTAGGGAGTTAACTGGGGACTGTTTCTTGTGGGCACACTAATGTGCATTCCTCCAGTCCAAGAGTTGGCAGAAAAGTGTGCTGATATCAATGACACCGTCCTGACATCTGGGCCCTAGTCAGCTGCAATGCAAGGCTAGTGAGTGTTGCCGTCCTTAACAGTTTTAATAAGGACAAATTAATTAAAGTGATTGGTGGAGTCCTCTGGCTTCATTTCCCCTCCAATTAAATGCAATCTACTGGTGGGGAACTAACCAGCAATTGCTCTCTCTAATGAATGGTTGGATGGGCTGGGCAAATAAAGGTGAATGCTTTGAACAATGGGTTTAGCTAGCTGTCTAATTGCCTAACAGTTCACAAATATGCAAGTGCTCCTCCAGCTTCATTTTGTGCCCGTCCTTCATATTTGCAACCTGTCATCCAGACTATTTTTGAACAGGAGTTTAGTACTTTTTCAAAAGTAACTAGACCTGTGTATGGAACAGCTAACAGGCATGGACATGGGCTCATGAGGACCATTGGGGTGCTCTCCCCCATGCCTGTGACTTGTCAGTCAGGCTAAGAGGTGCAGAGGAGGACGGTGGGGTGAAGGGAGAGGGACAGATCAATAACTATTGTTGCGGGAACTAGTGCTGCAAAGGAATGGCAGCGCTGGCAGTGATTGATAATGGATCAGGCAAAATGGTGCCACTTAACCCTCCCCCTGTCAAGAAATAAAAACCAAGAAAAAGTTTGGCCATGAGAAATCCCTCCTAGCCAGAAGCATTCAAAAAACCTGTCAAGCATGTGTCAGTGACAGAACCAGCAACACATAAGCTGGCAGAACCCAGTTTTCTCTCCTGTTTCAAACACTCTTCTGTACACCACAGGACTAGAGCTCTCATGTCTAAAGCCCTAGTTTAGGGCTCTTTAAAAACAACACTAAAGCTGTATGTATGAAAAGCATGCATAAAATCTAACAAGCACTATGAAAGCACTGACCGGGCATGACGTCGGTAGATGCCTCTGACAAAGTCAGATGTCCAGTCTCTTTTGTAGCCCTGGTCAAAATGGGTATAGATGGTGGGGTCCAGTAACTGGAGGGGGGATTCCTACAACAGCCTAAAGGGGCCAAAGAAGGCTGGGCAGATCCCAACCTCCAATGGCATCCTCAACCACATCATCTGTGAAGTGATACTTGGTCCCCAGATGTTTGCCCCTGTGAATTGTAATCTCTCTAATTTTGTCCCAGCCAGTATTAGGACACTGCATACTCTCAGAAATCCAATAAAAGTTTAAATCTTCTCCACTGCCCTTAATAAGGAGCGGGTAAATAACTGGCACTCACCTGCGGAAAACTTGATATGATCGTAATGGCCAAATACAGGAGGATCAGCCAAGTCTTCATGATGGCAGAGAGACTACCAAATAAATGACACTCGTTTTTAATCCCAACCAAAGATGGATGCCCCTATCCTACCTCTCTGACCTTCTTCCTTGAAAAATATTAAAACAGTTTCTTGCTCAAGGAATTCTGAAGAACAGCCAGTTGCTTTCTCCCTGTCTCAAATAACTTCTTGTTGTTCTTCTCCGACTGTTGGCAGGTTCCTCTCTCCCATTTTTCGCAATCTCTGATCATGTGACTAAGCCCAACTTAGTTTCACTCTCTTCAGGGGAATTCCATTTCTCCAGCAGATCTTGCTGAAAAGAAATAATTAGAAAAAGGGGAAACAGAGGAAATTCTCTGAATGGAAGAAAAACAAGAGAGCAAAAAGCTACTTTCTCTGTGCAAATTTCTCTAAATAATAGAATCAAACTGTTGTGACATATCTTGGCTTTAGAGAATGGAACATGACGGAGTGAAACTGGAGGAATATGAACCATCCATTGGTTGGCTTCAGACAATGATCAGTTAAAAATTAAGGATGATTGATTACCCTTTCCATGAGAATTCCCGTAAATCATGGGGGCAGGGGGAAAGAGAATAGTCATGGGCCAGCCTGTAGAATACTCTATCATGCTCAAACAAGAAAGATAACATAGGTAAAGAATAGCAAGCTAATTGCAAGCTGCTTGATGATTGGATTCTGACAACTTATTTTGAAAAGATTGCTTAAGATCAAGCAGATGCTTTTCCATAGTGTAAGGAACTGGTCAGTACTAAGCTTAGTTTGTTTTGAGAAGGCTGTGTGAAACCAGCGGGTTTGGCTAGTTTATCGTTCCAGTATGAACTCGGAAAATGAGTTAATTTAGTAATTATATTTTGTAATTGTAAACTTAATCTGTGAATGCAACCTATAGGTTATGGATTTTAAACATGGAAATAACTTCTATGAAGAGAAGTAACAACATGAATCCCAGGTAAAAAAACTTCACGTCTCATAATCAACTACATGCATATCCAGTTTGCAGTTTATGATCTTTGGTTGCAAACATGTAGCAAAATGCTATGATATATATGTGATTAATATTCATATTCAGTTATAGGTATTAAATCTCATCCCATGTAGCAAATCCAACATACGTTCCTCCCTTTCTTATTTCACTACACAGACTTGTCTTTGATCTGTGTTTTCACATAACTCCCTCTAACTTCTTGAAGCCCTACTTCCTACTTGCAGTTGAAAGAGTCTTGATAGGTGTCAGTCCCTGGCTGTGCCAATATTGTGAATGAGGTGTCAGAAATCATTTGTTTGGCAGTCTTGTGCCAGGAGGAGATGGAAAATACTACTTTAAAACTGGAATGGCTGAGGATGAATTGTGGCTACTCCACAATGGGTGAGGGATAAGATGAAGATGAGAATTTAGGAGGGCATATCCTCTAGAAATGGCTAGCAGGCTGCCTTGGTGCATCAGTTGCAGGGACATGAGTCATAATGTAACTGGGTTTGGTTTTAGCATGTTGTGTAAACCCACTCAATTATGGATTAGGGAATAAACCATGGGCACACAGTGGTGGCTTTTGTAATGTGTGAACTTAGCCCAAACATCCTTAAAAAGACTGATTTTATTATAAGTAGAGCACTTTGTTTACCATTTGTTTGGAAGGTTTCCAAATATTTCAACCAATAATCATATGACATCTTTAATTAAACAAAATTATTCTCACCAGATCATGAAAGGATCACTACCTCAGCTGTGTTAGACTAAGTGGCTGTGATCTGCAAAAGGTTATGAGACTAAATGTATCTGCCTTTACGGTGCCATAAGAAACATTTTTGTTTCTCCTGCAAGAGATTCTTCCACATGCCAGGGCAGTGCCTATCCTAGATCAGCACCACTCTTGCTTGTCCTCATGAACTTATCCGGCTTCTGGCAGTCTTCTCCCATTAAGCCAAATGGTTTTAGAAGGTAACTGGTGCTGCTGTCCTGCATATCACATCACCCTGTGTTCACCCATAAACCATGGGTTACAAACCATAATAGCTGAATAGGGGGAAGAGGCTGTGCAGGTCAGCTGGGCATAAGAGTGATGCAACTGCCAGTGGACTATTGCACAATTATGTCTGAAGATAAAACTAGTCCAGAGAACGATCCCCCATCAGGTGGCTCCCAAAGTAAATAAATAAAAAATAAATGAGTTGAGCCTCACCAGCATTCTCTAGAAATCAGCTATGATTCTCAATTAGAACAGGATAAAATAGCCCAACATTCTGTTCCCACCATGGTCACTCATGGAAAGACTGAAATTAGAATTATAGCAACTGAGAGGTACATAGCTTCTGAAAACAGAGGGAATAAGGCCATCAGCAATTAATAGTCTTATCTTCCATTAATTTGTCTTACTAGGTTTTAAAGCTGCATATTATGAAAACTCACTTTATATTGTCAAATTAAGCCAATTTCTCAGCTTAACTATATGATGGGGTGAAAAAGAAAACGTTGTCTTCTCTGATCTTCATTAAGCTTCATTGCATAACCCTGAGTTCTATTATTGAGAGAAATAAAATGATTTCCTAGCTACTTTCCCTCCCACTATGCAGAATTACTGTACAGTATTTATCCAAAAGAGAGAGAAGTTTTTTTTCTTTTTAAATGTCTCAATTAGAACAGGATAAAATAGCCCAACATTCTGTTCCCACCATGGTCACTCATGGAAATATATGATGGGGTGAAAAAGAAAACGTTGTCTTCTCTGATCTTCATTAAGCTTCATTGCATAACCCTGAGTTCTATTATTGAGAGAAATAAAATGATTTCCTAGCTACTTTCCCTCCCACTATGCAGAATTACTGTACAGTATTTATCCAAAAGAGAGAGAAGTTTTTTTTCTTTTTAAATGATTTTCAACATAATTTAAAGTAATTTAAATAGGAGGATGAGGACCATCTTAGACTTGCTGAAAATATGTTTATGGAGGCAGACAAGATTTTAAAAAATCTAATATTTTTCTTTTGACTGTGGGTGTGGGGATTGTTTTAAATTCACAGTCATCTCTTGTCAGTTAAATACATATATTTTATTGTATTCTCCCCTTGCTTACTTGCCTTTTTCTGAAAAGTATCATGTTGTACTGTTTCCATTTTGGGAAATTGCTCCATATCCTTGATCATTTCCCTTGCCTATTTAGGACGCTTTTCATCCTGATACTTTTTGAAGTGTGGTCAACAGAAATCAGCTTTAAACCTAGCCCATCTGGGCTAATCTGAGTCAGACCTGAACAGAAGATTAACAGGAAATGGCAAAGTTGGGGAACTGAAAGTTGGGAAGAAGACAATGGCAAATTATTTCTGTATAGTTGTCAAGAAAATGACATGTCTATAGAGTTATCAGAAGTCAAGTTCAACTTGAGAAACTTTTTACTTTAAACAGAACTGTGCACGGTATTCCAGGTATGGTTGCACAATGTATTATTAATTAGAAAGGCATAATGAATGAAGCTCCCAATTTTATGTTACTTTTTAATCTTCTTATATCACTTTGGGAAAGAGGACTTTGAAAAACAAAGATAGAAAGCAAGCAAGCACACAGCAAGCTAAACCTTAAGGCCTGTTAAAGATTTTAATCAGAAAATCAGCAATTTCACATTTGAATTCTTAAGTGTGAACTCAAATATAGATTTCATTATTTGCTTGTTTTTAAATGTATTAATAAAATTACTTTCTTCTCTTGTCACTAGTATTTGTCTTCAGAATGCATATATGTGTGGATGTATGGTTTGTTTCATTTTAGCTAAATATGTGGTATGAACTTAGCATTCTGGTTGTACCCCATGGTTTATGGCTTAGTATTTTGTGCTAATCCAGCCATGGTTTAAATAAACCATAGTTTAGTGTGACATGATTCCAGCCCCAGGTTCTCAGAAAATGGAAGTTTTTGACAGAACTTCCATTTTCAGACTCCCACAAGTATTTCTCCTCCATTTTCTGCAATATAATACAAAAAATTTATTCATCTTATCTTTTTTTCCCCTTTAGTAAGCCATTGGTATCCAGCAGTCCAAATGCCTCATTAGACTGTTTCTGTCTCTGAGTTATCTAATGAATCAATTTCATTAAATAACTCATTTATTTATTTATTTAATGAGTTATTTAATGAGTTATTTAATGAGTTATTTAATGAGTCATTATTATTCATGAGTATGTGAACAAGTTCTTCAAAATATTTTTTTAAAAATCCTTATCGCCTATTTGCCTTTCTTCTGTACATATTTGTGCTTCATTTTTGTTATCTGCATTTGACAGAACTTCCATTTTCTAAAATGATCTTTGTGTGTGTGTGTGTGTGTGTGTGTGTAAGTAAAAGTTTTATTGGCATTGCTCGTTAACCATGCTGGTGATCTCCTAGACTTCCCTGATTTGCATTATACAACATATTATATTATGTTGACTTGTCTTTTCTACTTCCTTTCTGCCAATTTCCTCATTTTTGAAAAATTGCCTCTTTTGAAATGAAGTGTGGCTAAAAGGTATTTCCACTCACGTTTTCAACCCTGTAGCTGGGTTCTGTCAGTTCAACAATTTGCATCTCTCACCAGGTCCTGCACGTGACTTAGGGCTAAGCCCAGAATCATCTTTGCTGGATGGTTCCCTCATCATCTAGGGTATCCCTTGCATGTGGTACTCTGACATGAGTTGTTCTTGAAATAGCATGCTACATGGGGATCTACAGACACCTCTGCTTCTAAAACTACACATCTTAGTTTAACTGCATAAGCACATTCTTTAGCAACTTACACTTCAGGATGTTATTTTTTTCGTCTCTGATAATGCGCCTGGTTAGTTCCAGCAAACCCCACAAGATATGTGCAGAGTGTATGTCTATTCAGGGATGCATGTTTTCATAAATCTCCTCAAGCGTTATTTACAGTTTAATTTCAGTTGTTCTCCTTCTGATCATGACTGTGCTGAAGTATACTGTTTCTTTTTCACAATGGTCCAACATTTAACAGGTAAAGCTTTTCATATCATTAAAAACATTTTTGACTGGAAAACCAGCATCTAGCTTCTCATAGCTTATGTCTGGGATTTGTCTCTACCAAACCAGAGTGAATGTTTCCATTCAGAATCTTCTGCAAACGTGGTCTCTCTGACTCACCTTCTGTTCTTGCAAAAACATGTCAAACATGCGACCCACCCTTTGTCCATGAGTATCACTATTATGACATCTCAAATATTATGCAAGCTCTGAAAGAGATAATTGAACTAGATTTGCAGCCAGATTTCTAAGTTTAGTTATTTATATGGGGTGCAGAAAGTGACTCCTTTTATATAAACAATTTGTTATTATTGAAAGTAAACCATTTTATTTTTGTCTTTCATAATTAAACAACTACCATTATGAAGCTAAGCTAGTTAAGGAGCAGGATTTAAGTATTCTTTTCTAAGCCCTACTTCTATATAACATTACATATTCTTATTCACTTTTCTCCCATCAAGACATGATGTTTTTTTCTCTGGTGTGGTATGTGGACTTTTGAATGTTGGTAGGTACTAAGCGATTTGATAGTGGCACTTACATCAGTAAACATTCCTGGGCCAAAGCATTTAAAAATATGGTATTCCCTTTAAAGCCATACTTGGGCCTTATCAGAAAATAAAATGGTTTGCCTGAATTGAGTTCACACTAAAAAGGAACATATAAATCTTTCCAGTTAACAAATAACAAAGGTCTGCTTGAGCATAATTTTTGAGTCCCGTTATTTTTACACTAGTGATTTATTTATATCACTTATATTGAAGGGATATAAAACATTACTGGTATTTTAGTACAACGATGGATGCACGGCTCTAGAAGTTATATGTTGCTAGGTGGAAATGAGCTATATCGGGTGAATCTAATTCCCCTCCAACAAGACACCTATGGACAAATTTTACAAATGCTTTTTTGGGGTGCAAAATGCATATATGAATCCACTAGTATATTTAAGGATAGATGAAGGAAGAATGGAACAGAATATTCAGTACTATATGCACACATGTGACATGTACGTATTTGTATGTTTTGTTGCCTAGGACAGCAACGATCTGTAAGGCTGTGATTGTAGATGCTGTTTGCTTTCTGTGAAATATCTGGCTTATCCTTAGGGCAAATGACAACTGGAATGATAAATGCCTTCCATGGCATGCTTTGTAACAAAGGGCAACCAATATCATGAGAAAAGTCCCATGACTAAGGTTAGACAGAAGCACCTTTAACGTAAGAGACATCACCCAGAAGCTTGTGGTGGGGGACAACCTGTCCTGGAGAGAGATGGGACAGAGACAGAATATAAGGGGGCCCCAGCCAAGAAGGAAGTGGAGGCAGAAAAAGGAGAGGTTGCTTGTTCAGAGGTGGCTGACTAGGTCATATCATAGTGCCTGTCAGGAAACCAATGTTTAGAGACAAAAGGTCCCCATAAAATGCCCTGTCAGTGAACCATATGGAAATGTTCACTAAGATGGTTACAGTTGTTTGTGATTATTGTGCTAGCATCTTTTATAATGATTTTATCTTTTGGTCTTAAAACATGTATATTATTATTGTTGTTCAACTAGACTTTGGGTAAATTTGAGCATCAGAAGCAGACTTATAAGAGGAATAGTTGATATTCTTTTTTTCATGGTAACAATCATAAATCCTTAAATCATGAAATCACAGAGTTGGAAGGGGCTATGTAGATCAAGTCCAATCCCCTGCTCGGTGAAGGAAATCAAATTAAAGCATTAGTCTAGCTTCTGCCTGAACATACTCAGTGAAAGAGAGACCACCACCTTTCCCAGCACTGTACTTGCTTCCACTGTCAACTGTTATTATTGTTAGCAAGTTTTTCTAACAATCAATCAGAAACTCCCTTTGTGTAACTTAAGTCCATAATTTCCTTTTCTGCCCTCTGAGATGGTAGAGAACAGAGCTTGGCCTTCTGTAAGACAACTTTCAATTGCTGGAGAGGGCAAACATATTTCCCAGTCAGCCTTGTCTCCTCATTCTGATTCCTTTCAGTCTCAGTACTTGGTAAGGCTAGTTTCCAGTCCCTTGATCACCACACTGCCCTTCTCTAAATCTTTCCAGTTTGCTTGAGTCCTTCCTCAATATGTTGCCCAGAATCTGACGCAGCACTGTACTTGACAATGGGTCTGACCAGCACAGAATAAAGTGGAAGTATAATTTAAACCATACTTCTGTTCATGCAGTCTTTTTGCTTCTGCAAAGTGAAAATGGTTTTCATGCATGTTTGTCACAGCACACAGACATGGACACACACACATGGACACATATATAGTATACGGGGAGCAATCTTCCCATCATTTTCTATTCATTTCTATTTTCTATTCATTTTCACTGCCGAGAAACCTACAGTATTTTCTGCTTCTGGGTCATTTTATTTCTTCGTGTCTTTGGTTCCCCAAATACTTAAGGGCATATCTGTAGACATTTCTTTTGGGCTCACAGGGTTCTTTGATCACACAACCATTTTTTTTTATTTTTCTGTTCATTAAAAAAAAAGAAGGTAGCATACTGCAAAGCGAAATAGAGTTATTATAAGGTTATTTGCAAGTACCAATTCTGGGATTTGGTTGCTGAGTGCCAGTTCAAACCAACGATTGCCTCCAGCCATACTGAAAATATTCCTAACTGGCTTGTAAATAGTGATATTTCCTTTTCTAGGTAGCACTCCATTTCTGTGCGGGTGAAATCCTCTTTATAACATTTTTTCTTGCAGGCAGTAGTGCCCATTGTTGTTATGCTTTGAAACTTAAGGAATGTATCAGCCTTGTAGATCAAAAGGTAGATACACTCTTTTTCATTATGTGACATACAGTTCTACATTGGTAGTTAATGTTATTCAGTGTCTGTGTCATATATTTTATATAGGTAAAACCACTAGAAAATTTAAGAGAATTGAACATTTGTCAAATACTGATGAGAACTGAGAAACTCCTTTTGTTAAAAATTGGTTACATTATCATTATAGCCTTTCGGATTTTTCCTTTTCAGCTTAGAACAATACCACCTTGAGCAGACAAAGATCTTCTTTACACAAAAGCTAGATGTCAGCTGAAATGTTTGGCCCTGAAAGGTCTCAGTGAAGGTCGTGACTTTGTTGCATTACTCTAATTAGACTGTTCTGCCATGTTTTGGTGACTAGGGATTATACGGAGTGTTAGGCATACCATACTGTTTATTTTAGCTAATTAGAACTTGGTGGGTAAATTTTTAAGTATACATGTAGTTATTTACATGATTGCTTGATTGATTATGTGCCACTAAGTTGGTGTTGACTCCTAGTGACCACATAGATTTTCTCCATGATGCTCTGTCCCTAACCTGGTCCTTCAGGTCTCCCAATGGTGCCCCCATCACCACTGTAACTGCGTCTATCCACTTTGCTGCTGGTCATCCTCTTCTCTTTCCTTCCACCTTTCCCAGCATCAGAACCTCCTCCAAAAGCTAGACCTTCAGATAATGTGTCCAAAGTGGGATAATTTGAGCCTGGTCATTGCGCCCTGAGTGAGAACTCTGGGTTGATTTGTTTGTTGATCCATTTGTTTGTTTTCTTGGCTGCCCATGGTATTCTCAATGAGTTTTCTCCAATGCCGAATTTCAAAAGTGTTAATGCTCTATCTTGCACTTTCAGAGTCCAATTTACAGGACGGAGGTGTTGAAAATTCTTTCTGCTCACATAGTTGCTGCCAATTGTACATTTGTTGTATCTGGAGTTTTCCTTATTAATGGTGCTTTCCCCCCCCACTCTGCAGCTAACAGTTGTGAATAGAGGCATGTCCTTCTAATGTTATTTTAGTGTAACCATATGAGTTATTACTTTTTTAATATTAGCAGTTTATTGGCTAACATGCTGTACATATTATAAATCATCTAGAGTCGAATTGGATTGAGGCGGTGAATAATTTCATGAATAAAATAAAATATACAGTGCAATGCCTTACACAGTTCTCAAGCTGATGGAAATTGCTCGCCCCTTATCTATAGCCATGGGTAATATTTTTTAAGGACCCAAAGTTGTTGGCTTCAGAGTGCATCCACTTGCTTCCCCCAATATATGACTGCCAGGGTTGCAAAAATCCCAAAGCTCATTAAATGGTAGCAACAAATTAAGAGGTTTGTTGTTTTTTTAAAATCTCCTTGCTACCATCTAGTGGACACCTATCTTTTTTTTGCAGCTCAGATACATTAGCTGTAATCATTGGGCATCCTCCTATGTTGAACCACAGTTCCCGCCCTCTTCCACCAGGGTGATGGAAGGCTGGCATGTGGGCACTGCTCCTGCTTCGGCCCAAAACTGCCTCAGCCTCATGGGCTCGAAGCGTTCTTCGAGGGAGCTGATGAAAATGAAACACAAACCGATAAGGAAATGCATATTCAAGAACGGAAATTACTTTTGACTCACCCACATCTCACTTTTACCATGAGAAGTTAGCTTTTGCTTTCTGGGAAGTAAAAAAAAAAAAAAA